TCAGCTAAAGCTGTTTGGGGAATTAATATACCTCAAAGCCCTATTCTAATAATTAAGACCCCTACATTATTAGAAACCTTAAACGGTGATTCCTGAATTCCTGGCGGGCTCAGGGAACTCCCCTACATTGGGCTTGTCGAGGATCTTAAGATGGGTGTTAAAAGGGTAGAGGTTCTGATAAGAGCTTTAGGATTCGCAACCCGAAACCCAAACCAAGCTGGGTTGGGAGCTTTCAGAACCAGCTGCGTCTTTGCAGCTACGGTTTTGAGGGTGTCTACGGCTTTGAGGGTGTCTACTGTGCCTGTAAAAAGTCAAACCGGCATCCGGAACCTTAAAAAGCAAACCAACAAACCTTAAACAGCTTCCAACCCCTAAACCCTATAACTCCTACAGCATCCACCCTAAACCTTAAACCCTAAAACCCGAAACCCCTAAACCCTAAAACCCTAAACCTCTAAAGCCCTAAACCCTAAAACCCTCGAGTCTAAAGCCCTGCGCCAGCTTCCTCCTGGCTTTCCATGGCCGACGCTACGCGGATCTCGGCTGCGCATACGGCGGGGCCCTGGCCTTCGCCGCCTGCCATGCGATGTCTGCCCTTTGGCTGGTTTAGGGTTTATGCCCAGGGTGTGGGTTGCTTTAGGGTTTAGGGTTTGTGGGCCCAGGGTTTTGGGTTTAGGTATGAGACTACACAAGCTTTGCCGCACACATTCCAAAACTATGCACATACAAATAGATAGATAGATAGATAGATAAATAAATCTATTCATTTATTGTGTGTTTACACATACATGTGGTTATGCACCTGTCTAGACATACATGTACACACACACACACATTCACCTGTTCAGACATACAAACATCTTGGTGTGTGTGTATGTATGTATGTGTATATATATGCACTTAAGATACATACACACACACACGCACGTTTTAAATGTGTATGTCATACACACACACACACAAACATGAGTGGGTGTTTGTATGTATGCCTGTGGGAGGATTAGCTACCGGGTTTTGGAGTCTCGGGGCTTCGGGATTTCTGACAGTTAGGGTTTAGGGTTTAGGGTTTAGGGTTTAGGGTTTAGGGTTTAAATTTAGGGTTTAGGGTTTAGGATTTCTGACAGGTGCTTTTGCGGCGCCCAGCAGACGATGGCTGGCCTGACTGGTTGTAACCCGGCAGGTGTTGGGAATGACTGGGTTTGGTATAGATGGCACTCAGAGGGTACGGGGACTTCGCAAGTTGGTTATAAGTGGGTGGCTATAATTGGGATAAGCCGGATGGCCCCAATTGGGGCCGGGGTGTCTAAGTTCATAAGCTGCAGAGAGGCACAGAATTAATATGTCACCTGACCCTTCAAGTTCCGAAGCTTCGCTAGCGTTGATGTCACATATATCTGTCTTGTCCTTTCCGCCAGCACATCGTTGCTTTCAGTGCATGCATAGTTATGGCCAGGGGACCTCTTCAACAAAGCGTCCTGAAAGATTACGAAAATCCAGCGCTTTCGTTGTGATGTCATGGTACTGAAGTCTACCGCGGAAGCCCCGAATCCAATTCAAATTATCAAGGCCCCGATATTACGGGCCTTGAGTTGGAACCCTAGAAATGCCGTTTGGGGAGTGGGAACACTGAGAGATGCATGTCGAGAACCTGAGATTCTTGTTGAGGGGGGGGGCCTTCGTGTAGGGGCCGGGGCCGGAAACTGTTACCAACCTTATTCCTTAGGGCTCCATTTTATGAATGTACTATAATTAAGGAACCCCAAAACCCTACTAGCTATGTCTAGTATGAGTATATACTTTAGGGAACCCCAAAAGTTGGCCAATCCGTGGTTTGTCGTAGCTCTGTCTGTGGCATGTGGCTCCTGAGGCCCAAGACCTTTGTGAACTCTACACTCACAAGCAGCTGGCCCATAAACCAACCGCACCCCCCCCCCCCCCCCCCCGCCCCCCCAAAACGAAACCCTGAACCCTTTCTCTGGAAGCCTAAACCCTAAACCCTCCCCCGGGCCCGGAATCCCAAATCCGGAGCCCTAAACCCTTCAAACCCAAAACTCCGGGAGCTTTTTGTGGCAGACCTTCGGACTCTTGGATCCTGAGCTCGCGCAGTCAGGGTTTAGCCATAAGGGTTTACCTATCGTCTTCATTGTACGTTCTTTGTAAAAATTTGGGTTAAAAGGTTTTATGGTTAGGATCCTATAAAACAAGTTTGGTTAACCATGCAAACGGAGCTACAATGGAGATTATGGCAAGGATTTAGGGTCTAAAGATGGCGGCTTAAGGGCTTGGGGGGGGATAAATGTGTCGACCAGAATAACTTGGGCGAGCAACTTTCTAAACCCTAAATCCCCAACCCTA